TTTTGTTGGTACCTCTCTACCCGAGAATTGAATCTGCCAACCAACTTCTGCCCAGGCTGCCTCCTTCAAACACCCCCCCCCCCCCCCCCTTCCCTCCCTCCAAGCACGTTCGGGCCACCACGTACATTCCTTCACGCCACAGACACAGCCACCTTGCTCGTATCTACCCACAGCCACTCGAAGAGTTAGCATTCAATTCCCTCTATTTATCGTCGAGTTGCACAAGAGTAGAAATAAAGACCGACTTACAAAACGCAATATAGTCCTTGATATGCGCGGCCCCGGCCTTGGGCGCGGGGTAGTACCAGGCGGCGTCTTTCACGGTGCGCCCGTCCGCCGTGGCGATGTCGTAGTAGCTGGCGCGCCCTTTCCACGGACACGTCGAGTGCGTCGCCGACGTCGTCAGCGTCGCGGCCCCGTCCTGGGCCACCGAGGACGGCGGGAAGTACACGTTGCCCTCGACCGTCTGGTAGGATGAGGACGAGGCGATGACTTTGCCGTCGATTTTGGCGGTTGCGGTGGGCATCTTGTCTTGTTCTTCTCTGTTTTGTTTGCTTTCTTTTGATTTGGTTCGCCGTTTGGGTTGCTTTCTCTTTTCCTTTCTTTTATCCGATCTCTCGAGTTTTCTTTTTGGCGGTCTCAGTGATTGGTGTGGAGCAGCGCGAACGACGGCCGGTGGAATAAAAGACCCAAGAAGAAGACAGCTGGGAGAACTTCTTTCTGCCTGGATTGGCGTTCTTACAATAAGCCCCCCTCAAAAAAGAAGAAGAGCGGTAGAAGCTCTTCTCGAATATAAATATCCCGGTAAATAAAAGGCATTCGTGCAGGAGTGATATGTTCGCTGTTAGCTACGACGGTACTTGTAGACGCTCAACTATTGTAGCTGTACGCATCCCATCCATTACAAATTGCCAGGGCTGACCAATTGGCACCAAGAACGCCATGGGGCGTCTAGAGCCCTCGAGCGTGAATCCCGGCATAGCGCATGTTTGATCCGTCAACATCGGACACTTCGTCTACTGCTGGTTCGGTTCAATCCAAAAATCATCACAGGCGTGGGCAGAAAGGAGTAAGCGATTATGTCAACACGGACTCCGCTGGAACAAGATATTGGACTTTCGACGCGATAACGACATTTCCGCCATGCCTTTGGACTGTAATTCTTCGAACCCGTAGGTGTGGAGCGCTGACGCAATGTCCCCGTGGACAACTTAGGAGGGAGCATAGAGACCAAAGAACATTGCCTGTCCACTGGATTGGTAAACAATTATATTGCTGTTGCAGAGGGCCTATCCTTGGTGACAATGTTTTTTCTTAATGCTTCTTCCTTGCACTGAACGACTTCAACGGGTCGATTTTCCCCTTAGATCTCCCGCCAAACCGACCTTTGCGACCTCCTCGCTTCTTGCTATCCTTCCGCTTTTTTTCCTTTTGCAACCCAACAAACCCGACGTCATCAGCACTCAGTGCTTTTCGACCCGCCGATGGCATCAGATATTCCGGAACATGCTTCAGGTGCACTTGTCGCCTGACGATTGCCCCGTGTTCGCCGTCATGTCTCAGGTGTCGTAAATCTTCCGGGTTCTCCTCGAAATGCTTTCGCAGCTTTTCAGACTTGATTAGCTCTTGCTTGATTTCCCTAGCGCGTGCCTCGTGCACAGCAGCCCCAGTCACGGCACGTAACGCGTCGTTCATACGGTAACGGAAAGCATCCACTTGCGTCATGTCGAAATGATAGGGCTTCACCTCGTTGCCTTTCTTCGTTTGTCGGGCAATGATCTTCTCCAGAACACGTTCATCGTTCTTCGCTGAGAAAATGCTCGTCGCTCTGTGTTTGCCAAACTTATCCTTGGGAACCACAAACGACAATGCCATTCCTGCTTTCCCTGCTCGTGCTGTTCGGCCAATGCGATGTGTATAGGACTTGGAGGTTAGAGCAAGGTCGAAGTTGATGACGCAGGCAACGTTCTGAAAGTCGATGCCCCTCGAGACCCCATAGTCTTTCTCATGTTTCTTCGACTGTTTCACTTTCTTTGCTGGTCGTTGGACTTCATCCTCATCCTCCTCGCTCATCTCGTTGGCTGGGTCTTCCGCAACCTGTGCCTGCGTCCTTCGTCTCTTCACAACTCCTCCGAGAACCTCTTGATCGTCGGCTGCAATAAGGATATCGTAAAGCCCCTTGTTGAACTGTTGAACCACGTGTAACCGAGAGTTAACTGGCAATTCCGCGTTTAGGACGCAAGATTTGATTCCAAACTGCTCTAGATAGAGCTTTAGCCGGTAGCTTCTGTCGACTTCCGCCACGAACACTAGGCATTTTCCCTTCACGAGACGCAATTTAAACAGAACATACATAAGCAAGAACTTCTCATCTTCCCCGCACCGTACCACATATTGGGTCACTCCCTCGCCCTTCTCCTCCTTCTCATCAATCTTGACCACTGCTGCGTCACGACAGAAGATGGTCTTCAACTCCTCGACCTCCGGCGTCAGCGTGGCGCTGACCAGGAATGTCTGTACGCCACGGGGGAGGGCTGCAGCGATTGCATTGATATCCTCTTCGTAGCCATATGAAAGCACAATGTCAGCTTCGTCAATGACGAGTTGCTGGATGTTTTCAAGAGACAGCCTGCCCGAGCTGAGGTATTGAGTCGCTCTGCCAGGGGTCGTGACAATGACATCTGGGAAATCTTGCAACACCGCATTCATGACCGCGTCCGAAACTCTTTGTGTCAAATTCAGTGTTTGTACGTCTTTCGAGCAGAACCCCGCAAAGGTATTGAAGGCCTTGTATACTTGATCAGCCAGTTCTCTGGTAGGCACGAGGACAAGAGTAGACGTGATCTTGACGCCCAGGGAGGAGGATTTTCGACGCAGGATCGCTTGTAGAGTGGGGAGGACGTAGGCGGCGGTTTTTCCGGAACCTGTTTTGGATTTTGCAAGGATATCTTTTCCCTCAAGCGCCAGGGGAATGGCCTTTGCCTGTACTGATGTAGGGTGGGAGAAGTCTGATTTTGCAATGGCCTGCATTAGGCGAGGGTCAAGGCCAAAGGAACTGAACGACAATCCATCTTCCTCAGGATCTCGCGAAACTTCAACTGTTGGTGCATCATTGGCGTCCAGCTTTCGCTTCATGGTGACGGGGTTGTCCAGTAAGAGTTCGGTGCGAATCTTGTTTAGCAGAAGTGTTGCTACAACAATACCGAGTACTCTTGGTGGTTGCAGTAGGCGCAAACTGCTCACTCCGCAATTTTTGCCAGAAACTTTTCTTGCGGTGTCGGCAAAACCTCGGCTAATGAGTGGATGAGATTGGCTCGCCTCGCGGGGCTTCAAACTCACAAGGCTGAACTCGGCCGACACCCTCGACTCCAACTCGTGATATTTACAAGGCACCGTGTGCGTAGAGGTTAGTGGATCTGAAATTACAAATTGGTGTCAAACGGACTTGACAAGTCTGAACCCCTGAGAGCACCTGCGAATCGCGTACTCTCAGGATCCAAGAACCCTAGAAACTGCAGTCGATGGCTGGAGCAAGATATCAACGAGGCTTCCAAAAGGTCGTCGAAATCTGGCAGCATTCAGCGCCTGGGTAGAAGCGGAATCACATCTGACAGACCCATCAGCCGCAGCCAGCAATCGCACGACTAGGTTGCATGTACCTTGAGGGCTTCTGCCGGCAAATGCTTCGAGTTTGTCGCAAGACTCGAAAAGGCGATGGGCAGAGGAAGCAGAAACTCGTTGTATGTTGGCCACGCGTATTGGGGCTATACACAGGAGCTTCCTCTGGGCGAGCTCGCCGCCAATATTCGCGCACCTTATCTTGTTGGAAACAATGGACTAACTGATTCTCGACCACGCGCAACCTCTGCGCCGAAAATAAGGCCCAGTGGTGTGGGCTTTCACTGAGACAGCGTATCTCAGGAGAAGTCAGTAATAATTTGACGTCTCTAGAAAGCTTACTAGTGGTAGCTGGCAGTGATGTGGATTGAAGCTCGAGATAATATTAGTACTATGTAATACGTAGTTCTGACCAGGAAGTTGGCCGCTGCAATTCTTCATGTACCTCGTATGGCTGCGATGTATTCCTAAACGAGAAAGTGTGGGGAAGACCTGTCCAGATCAAGTATAGTCTTGTTTCGTGAGGCGTGACCATCGTCTGAATTCGTACCGATTCCAGAGGCATCGTATAGGTCAACTGCAGTAGTAAAGCACTAGGTATACGCGGCGCGGACCTCGGACCAAGATGTGTTGCAAGATCTGTGGCCCGCCTCATTTGTGGGTTGGTCCTTACGTACGTACCTTTGTTGGAACGGGGGCTGCTATTTTGTGATAGCATAGGCTGAACCAAACGGCATTCAGGGGTATACTTGGTTTTACCTTTTCTTATACCAAACATGACGCCGGTGTCTTTCCCATTCGCTGTTTCCGCCGGGAAACCAGCGGCTGGATTTCCTTTCTCGAATTGTCCCCGGTGCGGCTCAAGCGCCCGCGTGGAGGTAAGCGAGTTAGGTACCTTTCTGTAGATCGGCTTCGACATGGGGCCAAATGCCATATAAGTAGGTAGATCACTGATTACTCTACAATAGTATAGGAGAAGTACCGTTCTTTGAGAATCCGCCCACATATTGGAAGATACTCGTGGAGATGTAGGCTGATGTGAGCGGAAATTCTCCATCCACATGCAGACCCAGCTGTAAGCCATATTTCCCACCTGTTGGTGTGTATGCCGTTTCAACATCTCCGATCTAGGTCAGCGAGCTGCAAGGCTATATAGTCGGCAACTCACTCAACCCCCATGGATTCAATCGCACCGGGGTTTCGCTCTCGGAGCAGTCGGTTTGATATCACATACAGAACGAGTTTACCAAACCCGCCAGGGCTTGAGACACAGACACAGACCTAGACAGTGTGGTATTCTTGCAGGTCGTATCTTTTGAGGAGTCGATCTTCCCCACGTCCTCTATCTCATCCTCCTGCCTATAGTCCAAAGTCCGCTGGAAGCTACAGGCCCTCTGGACTTGCATAGAAAGTTGAAGCGCACAGAATGGCCGCCCTGGGAATAAGAGAAGAATATGACATTGTTGTTGCAGGAGGTTTGTTTAATTCTGCCTGGCCTGAAACGACATGCTAGGGAGCTCAAGCTTACGCTCCCTTTTTAGGCGGTACTGCAGCATGCGTCCTTGCTGGCAGGCTACAGGTGGCAGACCCATCCCTCTCAATCATTATCGTCGAGGAAGGCAGAGACAACTACGAAGATCCCACGGTCCGAACGCCAGCACTATTCCTGGCTCACATGGCGCCTGACTCGACTTCCGCTGTGTTCCTCCCCTCCAAGCCTACTGAACAAGTTGGAGGTCGATCAATCATTATTCCCCGTGCTGCCATTCTCGGCGGTGCCAGCTCCATCAACTTCATGATGTACTGTCGGGCCCAAGCTGTCGACTTCGATGAGTGGAAGACAGAAGGCTGGACTCACGAAGACATGATCCCACTTCTAAAAAGGTTGGAGACGTATCAACCGGGCACGAAACAGGCAAATGAAAGCAACCATGGTGAGTCACCCAAGAATATGAGGGCCGTTCTCAACGAGCAAATGCTGACGAAATCTGATTTTCACAGGTACTTCCGGACCCGTCAGTGTATCTCTAGGTCCCTGGCCTAAGACCTCATATTCTTCTCAGTTCATAAAGGCTGCTGCTCAATGTGGTATGCCCAGAAGGGACGACCTGCAAGACCTGGAAACCTCGGCTGGCTTTGAGCGAATGCACAAGTTTATCTCTCCGCAGGGTGTGCGACAAGACGCAGCTCACGCTTACCTCCATCCCTTGCTCCATGACGGCGCTCATCCAAACCTCAAGGTCCTCCTACACACTAAAGTCAGTCGCGTGCTTTTTGATGACCAGAATCGAGCGACGGGTGTTGAGTATGTCTTTACAGGGCCGTCGAGCCCTGAAAGTCCTCCAAAACCGACCAAGGGAGTTGTGCGAGCCAGCAAACTGGTCGTTGTATGCGCTGGTGCTCTTGCTTCCCCAGCTATCCTTGAGCGCTCAGGAATTGGTGGACGAGCTCGCCTCGAGACGCTCGGTATACCGATCGTAAGTGAGCTTCCCGGTGTCGGTGAAAGGTACCAGGACCACCCATTCATCCATTTCTCATACAAGTCATCGCTCCCTGAAGACGAGACCCTGGACTGGTTGTGCCGCAACCCTACAAAAATTCCAGAGCTTATGGCTCAAAGCAATCTTGTTCTTGGAACCAATGGCCTGGAAATCTTTGGGCGTTGGCGCCCATCAACCTCAGAGGTTGAGAAGATTGGCAACTCAGCCTTGACCAAAATCTGGAAGGAAGAATTTCTGCCGTATCCCTCGAGGCCCCTAATGCTCACCGGTTCTTTTGCTGGGTATCTCGGTCCTCCTACCGATGTCCCACTCGGGCAGTACTTTACGATTGGTAATTACATTCCCTATCCGCGATCTCGGGGTTACGTGCACCTTACAGGAAAGGACATTGATGCACCTCTAGAGATCAGCACCGGCTTCTTCGAAGGTGCTGGGGATGTCGACTTGGATGTCCATGTATGGGCGTACAAGCGAACCAGGGAGATCGCTCGGCGACTAGATAGTTATCGTGGAGAGACAACCATCGGACACCCAACGTTTGCCGCTAGTTCAAAGGCGACTCTCGTGACCCTCGACACCAGTGCGGCGGCAGAGGCAGCTAAACATGGCAAGCAGCTGGAAGACCTTGAATATTCGGCTGAAGATGACGAGGCAATCAAGGCCTGCATCAGAGAGCGCATTGCGACGGCGTGGCATTACCTGGGTTCTGCACAAATGCGGCCACGCGAGGAAGGAGGAGTGGTGGACAAAGATCTGAATGTGTATGGTGTCAGCAAGCTAAAGATTGCAGGTATGGCTCTTGCTCTTTCCTTTCTCCTCAATCTCTGCACCGCGCCTTTAAGGGTTTGTCGGAACGGGGTTACTCTTGTCCACATATTGTCCAGCAGCAGCCATGCCGAGGTATGCAAGCGCTAACTGTCTGTTGCCCTGCCGGGCGTCCTAGATCTGTCGATTGTTCCATCGAATGTGGCTGCGAACACGTACAACACTGCTTTGGCTATTGGGGAGAAAGCTGCGGACATCATTGCACGTGAATTGGGTATAACCATTGGATAGTCCCGTAGTTGACTCGAGCGATGGGAGCAGAAACGGTCAGCCTGACGTCTGACGGATACCAGGACAGTGTCAACAGCTGTGTGATCAACAGCGCCGCCTGTAACAGGACAACGTTTACAAGGATGGTGGCGATAGGAAAGGTTTCAGATAAGTCTGTCTAACACAGGCTAAATGGCTCCTATAAACAGGAGGTATACTGTGACTATAGTATGAATGGATTTACGGGCCCGTTATAGCTGACGTTACCTCCTGAAAGCGGTGGCAATAAATCTTAATAGCAGCAATACCATCTCGGCTAACCCATCGCTGTAGCGCGGCAGACAACCACCACTAGCGACTACGTGATTCAACCCAGCGCCAAGCGTTGTGAGATATTCCTCCGCAACTGAACAACCAACGTTACAGCAGACCCAATCAATTCATTCATCATCGCATTCACTGTACCTAAACCCTGTGTTCTAGAGATGACAAGAGGGGGGAAGTCGATGGAACCCTCAACTGTGGACGACTGTCCCGAACAGGACGACAGGACGACAGGACAACATTCGAACCGCCTTGAGAGCGTCCAACACAACTCACTGTCCACGATTTGATGCGAATGAGCCCGTCCAACACTTTCCGTGATCTATTTTCTTCAGACGAATGTTTAGAGATTAAATGAACATGGCATTGGACGTTCGCGAAACATTAGACATACTAGAAACGTTTGTCGGGACAGGGTAGTAATTGACCAACCTGTTAAGACATTATTATCTTGGTATCAACGATGGCTAATATATCCACGGTCAGCAATTTCCATCATATCAACGCCCTTCAGACCCCTTTCGTTCCTATATCTGGTACGAAGCCCTTTGTCGATTGATAAACCGGATTGCTTTCTCCGTGTCAGATAATGCAGCGGTCAGTCGACCTGTATGATCCTTCAACGCGGCTTCACGAAAGCGCTCTTGTACGATTTTCATTTCGAACTCATCTAAATGCAGGTCTGCCAGTAGATGATAAGCCGTGAGCGCTCTTTGACTGCCGAGCTCGACAAGAACTTGATCTACGTTCCACCGGACCCTCCCGGATATTTGGCTTCTCCGCCTTGCGTTCTCGGTGTTCACGAGTGAAGGTTCGAGCTGGATGGGATCGGTGCAGTTCCGCTTAGTGAATACTGTGATGAAGAGATCGGCCATATCCTTCTGATAATCTGGAAAAATGACACCGGTCCGTTTGGCAGTGTAGTGCTGCATATCTTGCTGTGAAGACATTGAGCTGTCATCAAGGGAGAGCAGTGCATATACCTGGTCAAGCGGATCCTCGCATTTCGTGTGAGAGAACATGTTGATTAGTGTAAAGATGTCTCGCTCGAATTTTTGCGTTCGAGCTTCCCCGCGTAACATTAGCAGCATCCGAATGTTGTTCGTCGCTTTTCGAAAGGGTTTGTTGGCAGGATTATAAATATCACCAGAGATGCCGAAATTAATACCATTGAAGTTTTGGTGGTTAACTCTTGATCCAATTAATTCGTCCCAAGACCTTTCGTCCGTTCCGCAATGCACCATAATAGACCGTGCCAGGACCAACTCCTGGACAATCCAGCGTCTGCTGAAATAAGGTCGTTCAAAGAACGCGATCCAAATTCTCGCTCTTCTCCGTCTGGCATCGTACAATTTCCGCAGTGGCGTAGGTGAAAAGGTCAGTCTCCATGCTTTACGAAATAGTCCTTCATGGGGTTGCCAGTCGTCTTCTTGGGGGTCGAATAAAACCTCGCTCGAGTTTTGGTGCTCTCCTAACCAAGCATGGACGCAGGAGGCTTGGAGGAAAACGTGGTGAATATTTCGTACTTGTTGTGATTTTTCTTCCAGGTCCATTTGTGAAATACAAATGGCGTCGACCCAGAGGATCCGGTTTTGAGACCCGGAGCGAAGCTTTCGCAAGAAGTCGTATAGATTCTTCCTGACTTGGAGAACTTGTCCATTTACAGTAATGTTGTATTCAGGCATCTGACGGCCCCAGTAGTATCTGCAAGTGTGTTAACTACAAAGATGATATGAGCTAGTTTCTGTACACAGCGGTACTAACGAGATAGCCTCATAGTACGGGTCCTTCCTGAGATCGTATTCTTCGAGTGAAGCTTCAACATGATCTTGGAATCTTCCAGGATACAAGGTGAGTAATCGTATAGAAGTTGGACCATGGAGAGGCTTCCAAATGGGAGATATCTGGGGATTGGACATGGGGGTGGATCGACTTAGGCGGGCAGCCATCAATACGATTGAGATTCTGAGCTCGAATTAGAAAAGTCGGGCTGGCAGCAGATAAGGTTCACTCGGTTCATGGGCTTCCTGGCCTCCATAAAGCGAAAACAAGTGGCAATGGGTTAATTGAGTCGGAATATAGTACTGCCGCAATTCGTTAGGGATTTCTTAGCAAAGAAGGTAGAGTCAAGCAATAAGCAATGATAGATATCTCTATAGTCTATCGTTGATACTGTACAGGACTATAAATATGAGAGAAGAGAAGACAGATTGCGCGGGGAGCCTGCTCGTAATACGAGGACGCTCCCCAGGTCGTGAAACTCCTTGGCTGGTGGCCTAATTACTCCCAAAGTGGGTGAACACTAGCCGCCCGTTGACCCAAGATCTAGCCGAGGCCATAACGCTATTACCCAGTACTGGAGCAGTTTCTGTCACCGCTTTTAGGAGCCAATACCGCCTATAAGCAGTCGAAGCAGCATCGTAACGCAGTCAGTATTGCTCTACTGTAAACCAGTAGGCACTTGTAGAGAAATTCATCTTACGCTAGTACCTAGCGAGCTAGATACCGCAGACACATAGCCGGCGCTTTACTACATATGGTTAGATCAAAAAAGGCCCTAGCCGCGCTTTCAATGTTCCCGCAATACGAGTCCGATATGACGTGGGCCGGCCACCGACCGAGGCGGCAAAGAGATAACATCTTTTTTGCAGTATCTGCCATCATTTTCCGTGCCACAGTCTCTGCGCCTCGCTTTTACTCATTCACACTCAGTCTCCCTCTTTCCCGCACCCGATCAGAAACCGAACGGGCTCCTAAACCACACCTGCCGTTTCTCAAAGTGTTTCGCCATCTGCTCGCAATCATAGGACGACGACGAGACCGCCATTCCCATCCACGTGCGGGGCGCTGGAATATCTTCGAAATGGGCAATGAATCCTCTACCTCGGTTGACGAGGCTACGCGCCCCATCACACTCTATGCTCGGAGCATAGAAGCGGTAGCTCAGTACATTCAAGAGAAGGACATCAAGAACATTGTAGTCATGGTAGGAACCCGCCATGCGCTTTAGAAGTTCGAGTCTGACCGTTTCCAGACTGGCGCGGGGATCAGCACCTCTGCCGGAATACCTGACTTTCGTTCTCCTGATACCGGACTGTATGCCAATCTTGCGCGACTGAAGCTCCCGTACGCCGAAGCAGTCTTTGACATCTCATATTTTCGAAATAACCCATATCCGTTCTATACCCTTGCGCATGAACTGTACCCGGGCAAATATCGGCCGACGGTGACACACTCGTTTATCAGTTTACTTCACAAGAAGGGCCGGCTGCTCAAACTCTTCACTCAAAACATCGATTGCCTTGAGCGTGAAGCCGGAGTTCCTGGGGACAAGATCGTGGAAGCACATGGTTCTTTTGCCACCCAACGATGTATTGAGTGTAAGACAGAGTTTCCTGGTGATCGGATGAAAGAGATGATCCAGAAAAAGGAGGTGCCGCGCTGTATCGGGAAGACATGTACTGGACTAGTAAAGCCGGATATCGTGTTCTTCGGCGAGGCTCTTCCAGAATCATTCCACCGCAACCGAAGTCTGCCTGCGAAGGCGGAGCTGGTGATCGTCATGGGGACCAGTCTGACGGTGCAGCCATTCGCGAGTCTGCCGTCGTTTGTCAGAGAAGAAACACCGCGCGTGCTCATCAACCTAGAAAGAGTAGGATCGCTTGGTTCAAGGCTGGACGACGTCTTGTTGCTGGGAGACTGTGATGAAGGTGTCCGCAAGTTTGCAGATGCTCTGGGCTGGCGCGATGAGTTGGAAGAGCTATGGGCCAGCACTAACCCGAACAAGAACAAGAAAGACGCATACGAGGCGCCTCCAAAAACAAGGCAGGAAAGATTAGATGAAGAGATCGAGAAGCTGACAAAGGATATTGATGCCACGCTCAAGGTCACTGCGGAGGCAAATGAGAGGATCAGGGCTGAACTTGAAAAGAGCGCGACGCAAAAACCACCGCCGTCTTCCAATCCATCGACCGACACTCCTTCAGCGCCCACAACTTCTTCCTACTTTGGGCTGAGTCATGTCTATCCTCATCTGAAAGCAGACAAACTTGAAAAGCCATCTCTTTAGTGGAGGACTAATAGACTCGATCTTGGCGTACTGAATCGCCGGCGCACGCTCAGCTAAAGTCGATCTCAGTGTCGAGTGAAGAACATCTCGGACATCACCAGGCAGTTCCTCGAGAGCTCTTTTTCACTTAAGTGAGCTTACCTCTTCTCCTCCTCATTCTCCTTCCCACTAACGATCTACGGAGAGAGACAGGCTGCTCTCTGATCAAGCCATTGCCTTCATATCTCTTCATTCGTCATGACGCCAATGACCCCTAGCGCGAAGGGCACCGGGAAATATGCCAACCCAACTATCTACATCATCGTTGGGAAACAACACCAACCCTTCTACGTTCATTACGCATTCCTCAATAAGACGGACTTCTTCCATGTTCACGGCCACCCTCCCATGCCTGCAGGAGCGACACCGACACCGACACCGACACCGACACCAACTCGTCCGGGGAGGGCTTTGAACTCACCTGCGCCAAGTGAGAACACTGTGACGCCAGAGCGAGATGACATCAAAATGGAGCAGGATATTGAGGATGAGGGGGTTGGAAACAGCGAGGATTCTCCACTAGTTTCCGGCGACGGCGCTGCCATGCCAGTGTACAGACTGCAAGGTCTCCTCTATGAGCCCGCAGCGTTCGAGGTTATCATCAATTACCTATACAACGAACGACCCACCACACCACTGCATCGAGCCCAGGTCAGGACACTACAGAAAGCATACATACTCGCGCTCCACTATCGCATGCCTGGTCTTCAAGATGATCTTGTCGATTGTTTCCGACACTTCCATGCGTCGTACACCGTCAGGTTCGCTGACCTCTATTGGATCTCGGGGCGTATCGGTGAGGGCGAGGCTGTTTGCGGAGTCCCATTGGTTCAATACCTCGTCGATCAGATTGCGTTTGAGATCTATCAAGGGGGGTATGATACCTTCGCCCATGACAACATGGATTTTGAAATTTTCCTTACAAATGGCGATCGGCCTTTGCGAAAGGAACTCTTCAAAGCCATTGCCAAAGTCGCCCAAGAGAAGAATCCTATCGACCCTGCACTTGGACTCAATCGCTGGAAAGTTGAGGACTACCCGACGTTTCAGCGGAGCGAGAGCGCCTCTTCAAACACTCCTGACATCATTGATGTCGACTAAGAAGTCTTGGTGTACCTTGACATTGTGATCGTTGGGGTGCTGTGGAAAGGATTGGTGTGCTTGAATGCTGGAGACAAACTCCTGGAATTGGGGGATAGCTCGATGATTAGTCCACGTTGTCTGTTACTTCAATTATGGATCCCAGAACCAGAATCGTGAGTCAGCGTTGCGCGGTTAGTCATGGCCTGCGAAGATATCGGAAAGCGTCAGTCTCGAGCTGGGGAGAAAGATGATCAAGAGAGACTAAAGGCACCCTAGTTGGGCAGAGAAGGGCAGCGACTACTGGGTCCTCGACGGAGAGCCTCATGTCAGAGATGATCTCGACTCCAGGAGTGGTGTGAGATAGGCGACCCTGATACCCGAATGAGATAGCATCAACGGAGCTCGTGCACCATGTGCAAATGGAAGATCTAGATCTATCACCTGGACCGAGTAAATGCCCCTCCCTGACATAAGCCAAAGCATTCTGTCATTGCCCCTGGACAGCGCTGGTCCGACCCGCTGTTTTTGGATCTCACCAGGAACTCACCTATTATTACTACCCCGCCAAACTTTTTGCTGTATCAACATTTTGGCCTCCGTTTCTCGCCGCGAGCCCATGCAGCTCGTCCAGTTAACACCTCCTCTGAGACGCCTCCCCTAAAGACCCTTCCCGTTCATATTTATCACCCCGGCTGCCTCGATCCTCTACCTCTACTGTCTCACCTCCATCCTCCCTTCTCCCGGCATCGAGAGTCGAGCACAGGCAAAATGGTTGGGCTGGGTCCAAAGCGAAAGCCATCCCGCAAGGGTAAGTAGTACACTTTCTCGATATGACATGGGAACCCCGATGCTAAGTCTCGGTTTTCTTCCAGGGTCGATGGCTGATGTGCCAAAGAGCCTGCTGGATGAAATTGCAAGCCTCGAGGATCTGTTCACTGTGGACGCCGCAAGGCTCAAGAAGATCACCGAACATTTCGTGTCAGAGCTCCGAGCCGGCCTGGAGAAAGAGGGAGGCAACATCCCCATGAACCCGACATGGGTCATGGGGTTCCCCGACGGCAACGAACAGGGCACTTTTCTCGCCTTGGACATGGGCGGAACCAATCTGAGAGTATGCGAAATCACCCTCACAGAAGAGAAGGGCGAGTTCGACATCATCCAGAGCAAATACCGCATGCCGGAAGAGCTCAAGACTGGAACTGCTGAGGAGCTGTGGGACTACATCGCAGACTGCATGCAACAGTTCATCGAATTCCACCATGAAGACGAGAATCTGACACACCTCCCTCTTGGGTTTACGTTTTCCTACCCTGCAACACAAGAGTACATCGACCACGGTGTGCTCCAAAGATGGACAAAGGGATTTGACATCTCAGGCGTCGAAGGGCACGATGTGGTCCCGCAGTTCCAAAAAGCTCTTGAAGCACGGGTAAGATCAGCTCAACAGACGTCCTGGCAGTGACTGAACACACACTAGAATCTTCCCATTAAACTCGTCGCCATCATAAACGACACGACCGGCACCCTGATTGCGTCAGCCTATACGGACCAGACCATAAGAATCGGTTGCATCTTTGGCACTGGATGTAATGCTGCCTACATGGAGAACTGTGGCTCAATACCCAAACTCAAACACCTCAACCTTCCGGATGACATGCCCATGGCTATCAACTGCGAGTATGGTGCCTTCGACAACGAGCACAAAGTCCTCCCTATCACGAAATATGACACGATTATCGACGAGACCTCGCCAAGACCAGGCCAACAGGCGTTCGAGAAGATGATTGCTGGGCTGTATTTGGGCGAGATCTTCCGACTTGTGCTCGTCGATCTGCATGAAAACAAGAACCTTCTCTTTGAAGGCCAGGACATATCCGCGCTGAAGAAGCCATACACCCTCGATGCTTCGTTCCTTTCGTTCATCGAAGAAGACCCGTTCGAGAACTTGCAGGAGACGCGCGACATGTTCGAGGACAAGCTCAAGATCCATGCCACGAAGCCCGAGCTCGAACTCTGCCGTCGTCTAGCAGAATTGATTGGTACCCGGGCAGCACGACTCTCGGCATGTGGCGTGGCAGCCATTTGCAAGAAGAAAGGCATCGAGAGCTGCCACGTCGGCGCAGACGGATCGGTGTTTAACAAGTACCCGCACTTCAGGGCACGTGGGGCGGTGGCGCTGCGGGAGATCCTAGACTGGCCAAAGGGCAAGAAGGACCCGATCGTCATCCTGCCTGCCGAAGACGGTAGCGGTGTGGGTGCCGCCCTGATTGCTGCGTTGACGCTCAAGAGAATCAAGGAAGGCAATACAGTGGGGGTGCGCGACGTGAAGAACTTCCCGGGTCTCACGTAGTACGTACACCCGAGGTGGAAGAAGTACATATGGGGTGTCGGCGAGCAAGAAGGTTCAGAGGAAGACTGACTGATAGAGAGTGAAGTCGCATGGAAGGTGATGTCCGGCCAACAGACAGACGCAAATTCGATGGTATTACCGACGGGAGGGTAGTGGTTACTCTGCTACTCGCGTATCTCCCACAATCTGATTTTTCCCTGCTCATTTCCCACAGCGAGGTAGCTCCCGTCTGGCGACAGCGTGGCGGCACTGATCCTGCCCAGCGGTGTCTTGTCCGTCGGCCAGTTCCTGTACAGCGTGCAGCTGGGGAGGTGCACGAGTTTCAGGGCGTTCTTCTTCCAGCGGGATGTCATGACCAGCATCTGGCCATCCTCCGAGAACTCGAGGTTCGAGATCGGCGTCGTGAGCTGATCGAACATCCTCGCGGGCTTGGGTCTTTCATCCTTTGCGTCGTCGTGGTCGTCACTTGAAGTCATCGTCTGGCCGCCCATCCAGCCGCGTCGATCATACAAGTTGACAACACCGCTCGACGAGCCGACGGCGACCCAACGGCTTCCGCCGCGGCATTGCTGTCCGGCCTCGCCTCCTAGTGCGATGACGGTGGTGCCGACGGCGCCCTCGTCCATCCATCTCATGACTACTCTGCGCATCTCGACGTCGTACTCGCTGACCTCTCCGTTCTTGCCCACTACCGCAAACCCGTTCCCATCGCGCCACCACGCAAAGTCGGCCACCCCGCCCCGGGAGTCAATCCGACAGCTGCACACCCACTGCATGGCCTCTGTCGATAACACGTTGATGCTTCCGCCTCCTTTCTTCGACGATCCGACGAGTCCCATGTAGCGACCGCAGGGGGATAGCTTGAAGGATTCCATCGTCCGCTGCTCCTTGCGTGCTTCTTGTCCATAGAGCGCCCGCGTTACTTTGGTGATTGTGCCGGTGGCAAGCGACCAGGTGTGGAAATACCGGCGCCGAGAGGACAGAAAGACTTTCGTCTGGTCGTGTACCTCCTCACTTCCATTAACGGTGGCAGGTGGCGCGAGCAGCGGTCGGCAGAACGCTGCTGTGTGCAGAGGAGTGCCCTTCAAATGTAGCGAGGTCAAAATCGGGTTGGGGTTCGGCGGTTGAGGCGAAATGTGGTACAGCGTTACTGTCGAACTTGGCCCGGCGGCTAGAAGGAGAGGATAGTAAGAGTGAAATTGTAGCGAGTCAATCGACGAGGGGCCAGAGCCCGCTACGTCTTTGCAGCGCTGGATATCAATGACTTCTGGCCGCAGCTTTCGCGTCACTTTCGTTCCTTGTTTCTTGGTGTCTGTCCGTGTCAGAGATCCTGCTGTCCGCAAAAGCTCTGCCAGAGGTTGCGCCGAGGGAACGGAGTCGTTCTCGTCCACGGAGATGTCTGAGTCTGACACTGCATCATCATGTTCGTGCGAGCGAGAAGATAACTTTCTCCTCTTTCTGGCATATGTCACCCACTCCGGCGTAGGGTGAAGCCTTTCGTATTGTCGTCGTAGCTTCTGGACGTATTCTCTCCCACTGACCACATCATCGACTTCTGTGTCGCGAAGTTTGCGCAACCGAGTGTTTGAAGCGAGAGAGACAACGATTCGGTCGTCATCACTATCGTGCCACACAGGCTCTGGCCGTGAATCGGCATGCACATGTTCGGTACTTTCGAGCCCCTTGGAGACGGAGGGAGGAAGCTGATCGGCCCCAGTGTCGAGAAAAAACAACTGAGAAACATTTGTCAGGAGGAAAGGTACTGTGTCAGAGTTTGAATACTAACGTCTTCATCCGCCACGTCGCTCAATCCTCCATCAGCGCCCTCTTCTACAAATTCGTCCGCATTTCCATGCTCGCGTCGCATCAGTGACCGATCCTCGTGGGTTTGGTCTCTCTTCAATGACTTGAGAAAGCCTGCGTCGTCTCCAAAGAGGGCCTTCTCCAGCCGCAGCTCGGTGTCATCTTTCTCGAGCACTTCTGTGGGTGATTGCCCTTCAGCACGTTTCTTGAGCCGCTTGGGTGCTTGCATTGTTGGCACTGGGCTGGGTCTGCTGGCTGGCGTTGTCGGACTTTGGTTGACTGCGAACACTTTTTTTTCCCACGCAGCCGGCAATACTTCGGTGCGGAGAAATTTGTGCCCTGAGGGCTGCGGGTTATAATTGGGCCTTGTTAGGCTAAGGTTGGGCTTCCCGCCTTTGGTGTTCCAACATACGTATTCGGAACAAAACCCTCGTTATCGACCAGATGGAGTGGCTCAGGTCGACGATGCTGGGTCAAGAATGAGTCCTGTTTCTTCTACTCCCAGGCGAAACAGTCAATGGTGAATTTATTGTCACGGATCGTCAGAACTGCCCGCGGAGCTGACCCGCATCTTGACCCCTTCTCACAAGCGGGTGGAAAGAGTATTTCTTTCCCAACATCGCGATCAACCCAGCGACCCCAAACCATCGTTCCAATATGACCGCCCATGGTCACCCATCTGATCTTGACCACGAACATGAATCCACAAGCGTCTACAATGCGAAATCTGTGTCAGAGATCCGTGCCGCTTTGGCCGAACTCCACAGAAAAGAGGCCACCGTGACCTCGCAGCTTGATGCTCTTATCAGTGCACAGAAAGATCTTCAGCGAGAACTTGGCCGTCTGGACTTGTTCCGGGCAAACGTCACTGCGCAAGCTTCTAAGGCCAGAGCGGTCAGCAATGGCATGCTCTCAGACGCCGCAGCAAACGCCAAACGAATCTCAAATTCGGTCAAGACTCTCGATCTCGAGCAGGAAAGGGTCAAGGCCACGCTCACCGTCGTCGAACAGGTTGGGGAGTTGAAGGCTTGTGTGCTGGGTGTCTCTGGGTCCATGGGAGCGGCTCAGGACTGGGAAAATGCTGCCAGTTACCTTAGCAGAGCCTCAAAGATCCCCAGTGCAGTCATCAATGGGCCATTCGCTGCAAGAATCGTCCCGACCGCAGAAGTCCCAGATGCTCCGGCTGTCACCCTGGAGAACGCGTCAGAGTCCTTGTGTAGCTTGTTTCTGAGAGAGTTCGAGAAAGCGGTTAAGGAGAACGACGGTGCTAGAATAACCCGTTTCTTCAAACTCTTCCCACTTATCAACCGCTCAGATGTTGGCCTGGACGTTTATGGTCGCTATGTTTGCCAGGGAGTCGCTTCACGGGCGCGAGCCAACCTCAACGCAGGCACCGGTGGCAACCAAAGCAAAGACGGGTTCTTCTACGCAAATGCGCTGACTAAGTTGTTCGAGCATATTGCACAAATCATCGAGGGACATGGTGGACTGGTTGAGCGCCACTATGGCCCTGGAAAGATGGCCAGAGTCATCGAACGGCTACAAGTCGAGGCTGATCTCCAAGGGGGAATAATACTTGACACTTGGACCGATGAACGGAGAATCGAACGCCAACTGACTGACATCAAGGCGTACGCTTTTACATTCTTGGTCCAGAGCTTCCTGCCGGCACAGCGTGGTTCAACCGGAACGCCACGCGCAGGCTCTCCAGCACCGGGAAGGTCAAGTGAGGATGAATCTGTCGATATGAAACAGGTGGATGCCTTGTTAAATGAAATGACTCTCATGCTGGGCAAATGGTCATTGTACACCAGGTTCATTGCTGAAAAATGCCAGGATGCTGGCGCTCTCGATGGATCACTCTCGATGCCGCCTTTCCTCCTCAACTCGAGTCTCGCCAAAAAGGTGCAGGAGAAACTCCTGACTCCGTTCAACACGATGACTACATTCTTCTTCCGACGTTCAGTCGAGAAAGCGTTCCAGCTCGACGAGCAACCCCCAGATTTGTCCCTCAACCCCCACAAACCGCTCAACTCCAATCCTCCTCACGTCACCTCTGCAATCGAAGACATCATGTACATCGTCAACAAAGTTCTGCAACAGTCCTTGGCAACGTCGCAGAAGCAGGTCGTCTCTAACGTCGTGCCAACACTGGGCAGGATCCTCGGCTCCGACTTCGTCGGTATGGAACAGCGCAAGATGCGGGATGAGAGCTACCCCAAAGCCGCGATTCAAGGCCAGCTTCCACCCGAGGCGACAATCGTCTCATTCCTTGTCCTCATCAACAATCTCGATGTAGCCAAGGACTACGTTGTCCAGATCGCCCGGGCCCGAGTGGAACCCACTGCAGGCTCACCCCATCGACCCTTGGAAGAGCTCTTTCCTGGGCCCGGTGAGGCAGAAGCCGTTGCAGCCGCTCTGACATCCTTCTCCACAGCATTTTCGGAGAAAACCAACGAGCTCATCTCCGACGGCGTGACCGTGGTCTTTCACAATGTCATGAAGCCCCGTCTTCGACCCATTTTGATGGACGCCTTCCGCGACACGGACTACCAGCTCACACGCGAGCAGTTGCAAGACCTCGCGCAGGACCTCGACGGCGGAGGAGACGAGACAGAGGCTTTCTCGGATGAAGTCCGCATGCGGTTCCAGCTCGGATGGGACGCGCTGACCAAGCCCATCGGGCGCATTATGACCGAACGCACGTTCGACCAGCTGCTGACGATCGCGGTGAACTACCTGAGCAAGATGCTCGAGAAGCGCCTGTGGACGTACCACGGACGTGTGAACGAAGTCGGGGCGGCAAGGCTGGAGCACGACGTCAACGAGATCATCAAGGTCGTGGTCAAGGGTCAGAAGTATGCCCTGCGCGAGGCGTTCTTGCGCTGCACCCAGATCTGCATGATCATGAACATGGACGAGGAGGAGTGGGACGAGCTGCTCAATTCCGGCGGCGAGGTCGCGGATAGATTGAAGCACGAGGAGCGCGTTAGGGCAAGGAACATGGTCAAGGACACTTCTGCCTGAGAGTTGAGAAAATATAAAGGAGAAAAGAAAAGAAAAGAAAAGAAAACGAAACCGATTTTTTCCCACCAAGAAAAGCCCAGGTAAGTGAAGATCACAAAACAAGAAGAAAATATTAGAACATCTCAAGCTTTTCGTGAATTCGGGTTTTACTGGTCTTGGATCATTGTTTTTTTTTTTTTTTTGCCGTTTCTCATGCAGGGGCCAGCCTCTAGCTCGCTAGGGACGAAAACCCGCCTCAGAAATGCGCCATATCTCAACCATTTTCCACGACGACGACGATGAGTATGGGGCTTAACGTTCGGGTCCTGTATTGGTTTGATAAATCCCGTAGCGGACGAAAACCTGATACTGCTCTCCTTAGCTCTCCCTCCTGATTTCTTCGACCATTCTAGCGAGAATGCAGTCAAGTAACCGTCCGTCACAGTCATATCTGGTCTCTTTCTCTCTCCCATCAAAAACTTGCTCCTGCCGTTTAGCATTTCCCATTATCCGAATTGGCGCCGGCCGGCCCTTTATGCTCGAGACATGACACCCCAAGCGCGGATCTTGTTATCCGTATAGCCCGAGAACAGAGTCTGACCGTCGGCACTCCAGACCAAGCTCACACAGTACGGCTCCTGCGACTTCTTGCCCTTCTCGACAAAGTCAGGCTTGAGCTCGTCGACCTTGCTCTTCTTTTCGAGATCAAAGATGGTGATGGACGAGGTGGTGGCGGCGCACAGCCAGTATCGGTTGGGGGAGAAGACGAGAGCGTGGATCTCGTCGCCGGCCTGGAGAGAGTAGAGGTGCTTGGATTCGTTCAGGTCCCAGAGCATGGTGGTGCCGTCTTTGCCGCCGGAGGCGCAGAGCGAACCGTCGGGGGAGATGGTCACGGTATTGATGTAGCCGGTGTGGCCAATGTGATCGGTTTGAAGGCGGCACGAGGCGAGTTCCCAGACCTGTAGCAAATTGAGGTCAGCCACATCGCACTCAGGATTAAATTGAGCAGATATATATGGTTTCATTCAATCATGAAGTGTGCCTCAGTCCGCCGGTGAATGGTTGTCTCATAGCCCCCGAAAGGGCTCCGAAGTAGCAAATACTTTTGTGAAATGCGTAGCATCTTGGGCAAATGGATGTGATTTCTGGGGTAGTTTTGCTCTTACCTTGACCAACTTGTCCCAGCCGCAGCTCACAATGACCGGGTTTTGGGGATTCGGGGAGAAGCGCACGCACGAGATCCAGTCAGTGTGGCACTTGTCAGTGATGGTATATTTGCAGTCTCCCAGGGTGTTCCACAGCTTGATGGTTCGGTCTCTGGATCCGGACACAATCTGTCTGTTATCTGCGGAGAAGGAAACGGAGAGGACGTCGTTGGTGTGGCCGACGAATGTTCGGGTGGTGTTGCCAGTGGATAGCTCCCACAATCGAAGTGTCTTGTCCCAGGAAGAAGAGAGAGCATATGCGCCATCGGAAGAAATGACACAATCGGAGACAATGTGAGAGTGGCCGTGGAGTGACCGCTTGGGGTAGCCGTAGGCAGTCTCGTCGCGAGTCAGGTTCCAGATGATGAGGGTTTTGTCTCGCGAGGCAGAGAGGAGCATGTTAGGGCTAGATTTTTCGATGTCAGTCAATTGCCCGGATGGAGATGGTTATCTGCAGAACTGACTTCTCCAAGCTGGTCGCTAGGGCGGTGACCCAGCCGCTGTGGCCTTCAAGAGTACCACGTTGAATAAGTTGTTCAGCCATGGCGACTTGAAGATCCAGAGGAAGAGAGAACGGACTGATGTCTGAGGGAGATGGTTGTCAAGATTCGCCTGTCGAGACTTGCGATCTCCGCCAAAGATTCTCTGCAGTGTGCGCTCTCCAAATCCACGCCAAGATTCGGCGGCGCTAAGCCTAAAGTGGTACTGCTGCGCGTACGGCTAAACATCGGCGCAGGGGATGCCGTGCCTGATTTCTCCGTACCGAGTAGTATATCTCGTGGTCGCTCAACTCGCTTTTCGATGATAGACGATCAAGTTGGTGGGGACGGATGCGCTATCTGAACAAGCAGCAAATGAGAGTGCCCGCAAATCCCCTAACCATCTTTCCTTGGAGTCATAATGTGCTATTGTCCGCTTCGGCCGTTGCCTCAGGGTGTTGTATCGGAGTCATGCCCGTTCTCATCGCGGAGTACCGGCTAAATGCAACGATGCTGGCGCGTATATAACCTGAAGCGCGATCCAGATATGCCAAAATTGACTTCGTCTGTATCTGTGTTCCTATCTACATCCTGTGTCGTCTCCCTTCTCGCTGCTCGTTTATTTCTTGTGACATCTTTCGACCTATCAATTACACCATGGCTGCTTCTGGTGATAAGCTTCCTAAAATGCAGTACCGTTTCCTCGGTCGATCTGGACTTGAGGTGTCGGCGATTTCACTTGGAGGATGGTGAGTGATCCCCTTTACAGACTGAAGCCTCGGGGCTGACGGCAGTAGGGTCACTTATGGGGACGCGGTGGGCGATGGTAAGAAACCATCATGCTACATATGTTGCGCAGAGCTGACTTTAAGAAGAGATTGCTTTTGAATGCATGAAAGCGGCTTATGATGCCGGAATCAATTTCTTCGACTGCGCTGAAGGTTATGCCGAAGGCAAATCGGAAATTGTCATGGGTAAGGCGATTAGAAAATATGGCTGGAAGCGGAATGATCTAGTCATCTCAACCAAGATCTATTGGGGTCAGGCCTATGGCGACAACCCAGTCAACAACGGTGGTCTCTCACGGAAACATATCATCGAAGGGGTCGAGGGATCACTCAAGAGACTGCAGCTGGACTACGTCGATCTGATTTACTGTCATCGTCCAGACAGACATACTCCAATCGAAGAAACCGTTCGAGCGATGAACTACATCATCAACACCGGAAAGGCGTTCTACTGGGGTACAAGTGAATGGAACAGTGAGGAAATCGCCATGGCTTGGGCATGTGCAGAAAGGCTCAACTTGATCGGACCTGTCATGGAGCAACCGGAATATAGCATGTTGGCTCGTGACAGGGTGGAACGGGAATATGCTTTGCTCTACGAGAACTACGGTCTTGGCCTGACAATCTTCAGTCCGCTCAAGCAAGGCATCTTGACTGGGAAATACAACGACGGCATCCCCGAAGATAGCAGGATTGCCAAAGCTGCGGATGGGTTCACCACCACCCAAAGAGAGAGCTATGGAAATGAGCAATGGAAAAAGACGCTGGCTCAGGTCAAGCAGCTGAAGCCAGTGGCGGACAAGCTGGGCACCGATCAGGCCACCCTGGCGTTGGCTTGGGTTTTGAAGAATCCACGGGTAAGCTCTGCCATTACAGGAGCATCCAAGGTTGAACAGATCACGAAATCTGTCAAGGCTTTGGATCTGATTCCCAAGTTGAACGATGAGGTAATGACCGAGATCGACGAGATACTTGGGAACAAGCCAGCAGCGCCATATAGACGGTTGTAGTTGGGTTCTCGGCCTGGGTCTCGTACAATGAGAAAAAGTACTATCAACTAAAACACTCGTCATAGTCATTGCTGCTCAAGACTTGGTAGATCTTGAGTATCGAGCTGGGTTTGGAGATTGTTGATTGACAAAATAGGTGTTTTGGATTGGTTGGTGAGAAAAACGGGTCATGTATGGATGATGTCAACGGCGAAACCTCCTCAAATCCTCACGTTTGCTCATTTCCCCTGCGCTGCCCTGCGTCAACTTCAACCACGGAACAACTTCCAGCTGTATCTTCAGTTCAGCATCAAAGGCTGAAAGCTTCTGGTATTTTGAAGCTTCTACAGGTTTAAAATCTTCTCTCAGTCGCCAGCATGAATGCTTCACGTCTATTGACCAGGCGCCTCGCGAGTCGCCCACTGACTGCAGGTATATCACGACGCTGCATCTGCTCCACCTCGTCACGTCTCAATGAGAACCCTCGAGTCCACCCCAATGCTGAAGAGCACCGCAAATACCAGAAGGAGAGGGCAGACAACCCACACATGACAAACACTAATTCTACCATTCACAACAAGATGCCTTCGGTGGGCAAGGATGCACCTCCGCCGGAAATGCTGAGTTCTGCCAATCCCAACTACGTCCCCAAGGACCGAGTTCCCGAGAACACAGACAAGATGACAGGAGGAACACAGCCGGGAGACCCCAACAAAGTAAGCCAACCAGAATATGCTGTTGGTGAAATGGAGGGCATCTCGTTTCGGGTTGAGCCTTTACGTCGCACGGGGGAAGACCTTCCCACCATGAGAGCCAGATTACTATGTCGGTGCACACCCCGGGATGCAATACTGTGCATCAGGGAGATTTCGAATTTCCTTGGGGTTTTGCTAACGTGCTTCGATAGACCAAAGCAGGAAGCGAGGGACATTAGAATCCGACCTCCTACTCTCCACTTTTGCAGCCGAGAATCTTGCCTCCATGAGCAGAACCCAACTCGAGCAGTACGATTTCCTTTTAGACGAAAACGACTGGGACATCTACTATTGGGCAACGCAATCCCCAGCCGACTCGCCCACATCGCTCGAGACTGCGGAAGGTGCCACGAGCGAAAAGAAGAACCAGACGACCAACTACACCTCTCCCGCTAACTCGGGACAAACTCAAGAGACCGATGCATGGAAGCAGGGGGCTCCACGCAGTGGAGAGTGGGCTCAAACTATAGGGACTTTCAGACCGGCGTATAGACCCGTGCCACAACGGTGGAAGGACAGCGAGATTCTGAACATGCTGCGCAGGCATGTCAAGGAAAGGAGTGCTGGCGGCGTTCTGGAGGATGTCAAGGCGACTCCCAAAAGCAAAGGCAACGGTAGTGGTCTTGGGAGAATGCCTGACGTCCAAACCTTTGATTGAGCTTGTATTGAAGCTTGTACATTACTGGGTACCCCAAGTATCATCCAATAAGCACCAAAAAGGTGGGAATGTGTTTCTCCATCTTTTCTTCACCGCAGATTCCTCGCAAGTGGCCTTTTTGCCGACAGTCGGCGCGGCTTTTATCGG